TTTACAACAACAAAAATAATCGCTTTGTTTTTATATCACAACCGACCGGAGGAAAATGCAGCACGGCTCTCACTACCGATAATCCGTGGTGTAGTGGGCGTTGGGCGCTATTTGAAGCATGATTTAGTTTTTAACGCGTGACAAACTAACGCATTACTGTAACGCAACTACCTTTTGCGGTAACTAATAACGTTACTAGTTACCTATTCCCATTCAGTAACGCCGTTATAGTTACTGTGATTTAAATGGGTTACACTCAGTGGCGGCGCCAGAGATTTTCTCTAGGGGGTGCTGTGGGGTAGCTTGACGTTTCATAGAGGGTGCTCAAACATTAAGGGTTTCCCATTAATGCACCAGCGCTGCAGTTGAATTTTCTACTGCAACACTCCCCACACGCACACACAGTGTACCCGCGACTGTTACAATGAAGGCTCGGTAATCAGCTCACGGTATATAGGTGTAATCAGGGGTAAAGTGCTATTTTTACAAGTGGGGAGTGGACCTCACTTCCTGTAGGAATTTTTTCCTATTTTTTAAATATTGAAGTTAAAAGCATCAATCTGGTGCACTTTGAGAGCAAAATGAAGAGATCTATGGATACACATCTCTCAACATACATATGAAACAGAACTGTAAACAGATTTACTATTTCTTTATAGATATTTTACAAATCACTCCCCTTTTAAAACAAACCGTTTGAGACCCACTGAGATAACTAGACTAAAGTTAACTATCTAAACACTGAGAGTCCTTTACTTCACCTGAGCTGAGGTTATCTGAGACTCTCAGTCTGACAGGAGGAGAGAGTTCTCCCTCCACCTTGTTGTTGAAAAAGCTCCTTATATCCGTTAGCTTGGCTAGCTAGCACCAGATGCTAACCACACCGATCTCCGGTAGATACCCACCGGTGCGCGAGCTCTCTCTCTCGCTCGCTTGCGCACGCACACAAAATGGCTCGTGCCACACACGCACGCACACACACACACACACACACACACACACACACACACACACACACACACACACACACACACACACACACACACACACACACACACACAGAGCAGAGCTTGAATGAAACACAGAGACCCAAGTAAGCTACTTGTACTCACGAGGCCTATTATGTGCATAATCCCTCTCGCTTTCAGTTGGTTTTGATTGAGTGTCCACATGTGGACGTTTAAGGACTAAAAAACGATCCATTTGTCACTTTGCTGTTAGCAAATAATTTGGCGCTCCAGCTAACAGGAAGTCACTCAAGTGTCGCAAAGTAATTTAGCCTATAGGTATGTCAAAAATCTAATGGGTGCTGGCCATTGACCTAATCATATCACCTGTGTTGGCTTTATGTTTTTGGTCAAACATTTGTTTGTTTCACATTTGCATTGACGTAATCAATAATTTTTCTAATTTAATTAAAAAAAAAAAAAAGTTTTCGAAAAAAATCAAAAAACATATTTCTTGGGGGTGCTTAGGGGGTGCTTTGGCAATCCTGGGGGGTGCTTCGCCCCTGCTCGCTGTACGCGTCCGCATATCGGCATCGCAACCACAACCTCACACACTGGTACTGAATGTGCCTCAAAGTGTTCCTATGGAGCCAAATATACCAAAAGATTTATGTAAACGACAGAAGAAGCGATCGAAATGTGTATTTCCTGGTTATTCGACAAAGGCCACGCCCCTGATACATCTGCCTATACCGTTATAGAATATCACCAGTTGTTCGAACCACATCTTATGTTACAAAGATTCATTATAAACAAGTAGCAATCGTGAATTCTTACATCCTAACTTCATTTAGTCCCACTTGAATACTTACTGTCTGTACTTTCTCCGTCTTTGTTATCTCACGCGCGCTTACTGACGGAAGTTAATATTATAAGAACCGTATATATTCTCAACATTATGCAGCCGACGGATCTCTCGCGCGTAACGCGCCGTCAGCATGCGACGATTCTTTCCGATATAATCCTCGATAAACTATTCAAACTTTTCGAATCTCTTCAAGTGTTTCTCACATCTGTCACTACGACTACGTTAGATAACAAGGTCTTCTGTTCTGCTATGTTCGACCTGTGATCACTCCTCAGCAGAGCGAACAGTCTTGTACCTCCTAGATAGGACAGGTCTGCACTCGATGATAGCCTATCGATGTAGACGACTCACATACTTTTCCGACAGACGATCCACCAACAGAGGCTTCTGTCAGACAAACAGGAGAATATACATCTACGAAAGAAGACTCCACGCGAAAGTTAGAGTATGATGAGAAAAACGACTATGGCTCCGGGTCTGCGATGCAAATTATACCGTCTAAGCTGTCAATGTTCTATAAGTTTACCTCATAATCTCACATATCCCAACCCACACACTTTATTCTTTCTTACTTTTAAATGTCTCTTGTCCCTATTACACTAAGGTGCCGTACTCAGTCATAGTCGTAGTTTTTTTTCATGACTGTTGCAATTTTTGCCCTCCTCACAAACATTTTATAGGTACTTTCTCTCTTAGAGACAAATGTCAGAGACAAAGTTTAACCACAACTCTCTACATAGGTATCTAGAGAATACAACCGCAGATCTTCTACCACGTCGCGTCTAACTACGACCAAATTGACAGTTATGAGGACTTTTAAGAAGGGTCCCCTCTAGCTGACAACGCGCGGGACTGGGGAGGATACACCTCCAGGCTGTGTGAGTCTGGATGGGATTTTTTATTGTGAAATGGTAGCCGTCTTTTTCATTGCTCTTTCGGCTACGAAATAGTTTAGGAGGTATTCATCAAACTTTTTTGCTTTGTATCGACTCTCTTTGTTGTACTTACTTTCTGCAACGTTTCCTCTTTTCTATCGTTTAGACTTTATCTATCGTTATTATACATCCCGAACTAAATACACTCTCGTTATGTCTCATTTTATACGGACATTTTTTCGTTGAATATCCTAATGTTAATCTTTCTTCATCTACTTCTTTACTTAGTAGCCTTGTCCGCCGTCTTATCACATCTATGAGCACAACACAGCGATCATGCAGACTTCTACGTCCTCTCTAACAAACCACACCAAAACACTGTCTCAATCTGTCGTACCACGAGTGTCGTCCTGACACACACTCTATCTGCGCTGCCCTCAGTCGTAAACTATATCATTTTCCCCCTTTGGACAACAAGGGGTAGATTCTCTATCTATTCTCTTGTCTATGCTAACACTACTCGTGCATCCTGCGAGCGCGTTATATAACTTACTACGCGATACTCTAGATAACACGCCTTATTCATTGGGTGTCAGGGTGCAAGGTTAAAGAGCGGGGGTTTATCTTAGAGACCGGGCGTCGACTCTGGACTGATAAACACAACCCCCCCGGGGCTGAAAAAAAAGAAAGAGCGTTTCCCCCCCGGCACTGATACGTTTTCAAATCTCTTGCGTGACGCGATTCTCATTCGCTCTCAACACTCAACGCGAATTCCGAGCATAAATTGCAACTCAATGTTGCAGTCCCCGGTCACCAAACGGGCACTAGTTCTCAAAGATTTTGCTAGCTAAATTCAATTGCTATTACTTGATCGAGTCGGTGTCTTGTCGGGTGTTCACGTCTGACAACTATGGGCCGTCTCTACTGTTGTTGTTGCCTTCAATGCTTGTAGCGAAGTGGCGATATCACAGGCACATCTTCGAAGCCGTCTTCGGATTCATTATTGTAAGATTGTGTCTAATATCACGTTTTGTACCTCCGTTTACAGGGTAAATAAAAATACCGTAAATTTCAAGAGAAACAACGTGAGATGAAAGATCGTGATTTTTGTGCACCTGCCGAAAGTCTTCGACTGCAACCTCCAACACCCGACCCGACACATTACCGACGATGGTCTACCGTGTGCGATCCGCTGCCTCTACAAGGCGCGCGGCAGCGACCCTAGCCACCCGCAGACCGCGGCCGCAAAATCCGAGCAGATGTAGTAGCCGCCTCGTCCACCAGCTCAAGAGTCGACAACCGTAAGGGAGCGTCATTATCTTGCTCCGGACCCCAGAACTATATCTTATGGCCCCAAATAAGAACACCCTGAATAAGGTTGGGCACTCTACCCAATACTTCTGTCGTTTTATATGGTTCATCTTGTTGTTATCTGATACATTACTATACGTAATCACAGTAGTAACAATTTGCGGCCGGTTTATCTTTTATTTGCCGCGTGTATAGTGATGTGTCATTAGATCACGTGTTCGATCTGTTACGACATCCGTTTCATCCGCGTTATCCGTATCGTATAGTATGCGTGTGTGTGGACGTCCGAGTTGGTGATGGTAATCGTGTTTTGTCCTTGCTTTGCATGGAGCATCCCGACGATTCAGGTCGGATCTCCCCGACTATTGAACATATACGGTAAAAAGAAACGCAGAACGCGGCATCAAAGGAAATTGCAGAACGCAACCGAGACGAACGTTTATAGGTCACACACGCTAATTCTCCACATTGTGTTTTGTCGTCGTCTAACTGCAAAGCGACCATTTACAACCGTGTTTTTTCCGATGCCTTGTTTTTTATGTTGCACCTTGTTACTATGCTTTCACTTCGTCAATGTCCAGTGGGATGAAGGATTGACGGACGTCGTCTTTGATGCGATTTGAGGCGATCAGAACTCCACGATTAAATGCCGCCCATGTAGATGCCGTGAATGATGGCAGTTCGGGCCGTTCGCTCGGTCGGTTCGCCGGTTCGAGGTGGACGCGGAGCCCTCGAACACGAGGACTCCGATTATCGAGGTTGGTGCAAGGGTGGTGTTTGAGTGGGGGATGTCTGGAGGTTCCCTCTGGCATGACTTCCGATTTCCCTGTTCTGCTTGCA